TGGAGGGAGGGGGCTGGGTAGGGAGACAGAGGAATGGGTACCCTGGCTCAGACGGTTCTACAAATAGTGCTGAAGATAGATCTGGTGCTGGGTCTGTAATACTGGAGCCAACAGCGGCTGAGATGTTGTGGGTATCCCATCTAATATAGTTCCCAGTCTCACCCTTCATGTTCTCTCGTTCTCTCGTTCTCTCTCTCTCTCTCTCTCTCTCTCTCTCTCTCTCTCTCTCTCTCTTTCTCTCTTCTCTCTGTGGTGCTGCCATTAGAACCCAGGGTCATCCCCCACCTCCTGTCTAGGGAAGTGCCAGCTCTGATCTACATCTCCAGGTCCATCTTCAGTTCTTCCGTGTGCACAGCTAGCATCTCCAATGCTGGCTTAGGCTCTCCTGGGTGGCTCCCACCTCTCACATGCTGGGGGTGAGGGAGACAGTTTGCTTTGGCTTTGTGACTAGAAATTTAAATGTCGCTGGCACCGTTATGGTTCATCTGGGTCTGTGTGTGGCTGGGGTGGGGTCAGAGGGCTTTCCTTCCTTCCTAACAGATCCAGGGAGTAGCCCAGACAGAATGCGTGAGGATAGTGAGGAGAACAAGCAGACACCTGCAGAGGCCATATGGGCTCTTAAGCCCAAGAAATGCATGTGGCATCCTGGCCAGACAAAAGGCCCTGAAGGAGACATCAACTTCTCTCCGGGAGACTAGAAGAATCAAGAAGGCAATCTAGACAAGAAGGGAATCTCAAGGCAGGGGACAGTTGCTATCATCTCCTCCTCTTATTCTGGTCAGACTCAAGAGAGATCTCTTATGGTGGGAGACAGGGGTGGGGGGAGCTCTCCAGCTACTTCTGAATTGAGGGACCTGTCCAATAGCCTGTGGAGTGGAGAAAGGCAAGCCACCTTACCCAAGGCCTGAATATCCGTTAGGCGCTGTCTTCCCCAGCTGTCTTCCGGATGTCTGGCTCAGGAATGCTACCCCAGGCTTGCACAGCGAGCCAGAGAACAAGGCCCCTGAAAGGCCTTTCTTTGCTTTTTTTAAAAAAAAGGCAGTCCATAATAATCTCCTCCTGAGCTGCCTCAGGGAAGAGATGCCTCTAACATCCACGGTCCATCCTGCTACTCTGGTCATTTGACCGCTGGTCACTACCACCCAGCTCCAAAGACTCCCTACCCTCAAAGATGGAACTGTGGCTTTAAATTGCAAATAGAGGGCATTTTATCTTTTTTTGTTATCACACAAGGGTGGTTTTCGAAGTATAGCGCCTGTCTAAGGCTTCACCACCGTCTCTAGCGAAAGTTGGCTTCCCTGTCCATTATAAACCTGGTGAAACAGAATTGTAAATAAGTTCACGGGCATGACAAGATGCATGCTGCTGGTGCCGGTGATTCTGCAGGCATACAGACAGAGGGTCAGGTCAAAGGAATTCTGGGCACTTGGGACACAAAGAGGACTCTGCCACCAGGGGAGGATAGCCTCCCCATCCTGACCACACAGGACTTTGCAGGTGAGGAGGTGGAGATGGAGGTCTGGGCTTGTCTGTGAGGACGGCTCCTCAGCCCGGCTCACACACTCTCTACCCAGAAGGCCAGTCAACAAGCTAGTGAGGCTTTCATGGGCCCGGCCACCTTCCCGGGCTCCTTGTCCCACTCGGGAAGTAGCCAGGAGGTCCAAGGTCTCTTTCTACACTGTGGACACGCTGGTGTTTCCAGGGCTACATTGAGCCAGAGGCTGGGTATTCTGACTGTGGTTAGTAACCAGGGTTGCCAGTGTCCCTCAACAGATAAGGGGCCAGCAACTGTCCTCTTGGACCCACCGCTCAACGCTCCAAATGAGGCCAGGGGCAGTGACATTGGTGAATTGTAGGCAGAGGCCAAGCTTCTCAGGGAGGGGCCCTAAGAAGGACAAAAACTGAGCCAGAGTCCCTGAAAGGCCCTCTTCCCCTCCCCCCAGGCCTCTTAATCTTTAACTGCTTCAGGGCTAACCCTGACCCCTGAAACACACAGGGCCAGCTCTTCCCAGTTCCAGGCACCACCCTTAGGCTGGAAAGAGATACCTTAAAGGAGGGCTGGAGCAAGGACCACGTGGAGCAGACATAGGTTAGGATGTCCCCGCGGATGCTGGAGGCACACCTAACTTTAACCCGTTTTCTCCATTGAGAGCTCTGCCGGAGAGTGGCCAGAGGCCAGCAGGCAGATTGGGGCAAGGTGGACTTAGGACCCTGACTGGGGTCCGAAGGCCAAGTTGCAGACAGATCCGGGTAGGGGTGGCTCCAACTTCGATCAGAGGATATTGTGGTCCCTGGAGTAAGCAGGAGAGGGGGCTTCCTCTAGAAATTCGCTGGGCTATTGTTGCACTTTCCGAAACCATGGAAGGTTTCCAGGAGGCAGTGACAACCCCAAATAATAATAATAAAGCTCCTCCCCCACCAGCAGGAATTCTGGAAAAAACAGCTGCTGCCGTTATCGCCCCAGGAAAAAACAAGGTCAGGCGCTGCAAAGATTTAATTTAAGGTGCTCCCCCGCAGCCTGCGGGCCACGCACCAGCACGCACGCGTCCTTGGAGCGCGGGGATCGAGGCCTGTGGGAACCCGGGGGCACCCAGGCTGTCTCTGCATCCACCGAGAGTCCAGCAAACCAGTCCTAGCTCTAGACGTCTCAGCAGGGAGTCTAGGGCCTGCACGCAGTCGCCTGGGGCCATAAGCGGACCTCACTCGGGCTGCTGGCTGCCCCGAGCTTCTGGGGGGCTAAATCAGTCTCCAACAAAGCACTCTGAAATGAGGGGCGCTGTCAGGAGAACACAGCCCGACCTTAATCAGAAGTGACGGCAGAGTGGGCCTCAGGCGCTGGCAGGCCAGGTCGGATGGAGCCCAAAGCCCCTTGTCCGCGGCTTGTAGGGCTGGCTCCCGTCGCTCAGGGGCGGGACGGCTGGGCTGGAGAGCTCCTCGCGCCGCCGCCCAGTCCCCACCGACCACACTTGCTGAACAGAGCATGGGTGGGGCACATGGAGCGGGCCGGGCCGGCTCTGGGCACTGCCGCCTACATAGCCTTGGTGGTGGCCTTGGGAGTAGAGGACAGACGCTTCACTCCACGCAGACTGCAAAGAAGACTCCCTGAGACAGAGCGCGCCGTGCGGCTCAGAGCACGCTTCCGTCCGGGGATGCCTTGAAGTCACTAGCATGGGCAGAAGAGTATCCAAAGAGTCCCTGGCCTGTGTTGGGAGTGTTCATATTCTCAACTACCAGATGAGAGGGTCTGGCCTGGCCTTCCAGGCTGCCAAGCTACCGCCAGGGTCGCCTATCTTCCAAGCAGAAACCAGTCAACATCCATGATTCCCCTATTTCCCAAAATGGGGAATAAAGAGCAGGGGTTAGGGGAAACGCGGAGGGAGGGAGGGGACAGGGTCGAACCCGTTGGTTTTTTACTTTAAAATTATATATTTTATGTCACAATCGCTTTTCGTTAAGACCACAAGCATCCAATTTGGCTTGGCGTAATAAAATCAGCCGGAGCTCCCTTAAACGGAGCCATTGCAGAGAATTAAGTTGTGAAATCTAATCTATTATATCCATAAAGGAGAATGCTTTCATTGTAAATTCGGGTTATAAAGAAACTATACCTGGGCCGCCAGCCTCCCTTTCGGATTTGCTACTTGAAGGCTTATCAAATTACTTCAAAATGTTGGGCTCCCTTCTCTATCTCATGGCAAGCAAAATTAAATGTGGCAACATTTCCTTAATACCTAAGGTCGGAAACAACTGGTTCAACAATGGGATATAATTTTTAAGACACCTCCATTCGCGTCGGGGAGCACATCACTCCCCCAATTAATTCAAGTTTTTAAAAACTCTAAATGCACGACGACTCCATAAGTTCTCTCCTGTTCCGGCGGAGGGCTCTAGGGTGCAATCCCGGGTGGATCGCACACACTCGTGACTCGGATTCACAACAGCAGCCCGGTGCACACCTCCTGGACCTGCGCCTCGGAGCCTGGCTTCTGCGCCCCAGTCCCGGGCGCCCCGCTGGTTCCAGAAATGGCTGGACCAGACAAAGGAGTCACCAACGAGGGGTTAAGCTGCCCCTCACCCTTCTCGGAATGCATCCTTCCAGGCAGCTGGAGCAAGGGAAACGTAGCACCCTAACATTTCTTTGGTTTTACAAATGGGTTGGGGGTATCTGCTGCCCTTCCTGGGAGGGGGTTGGGCCCAGGTCGGCCTCTCTCCCTCTGACACCTTCTTCCATTTCTGAAAATTAATTAACTCCGGGATTGGGCTCGGACGTCCTGGGCTGGACATAAGTGGGGGGGTCACCAAGGACTCTCCGTCCTCAATCTCCAAGAGGGGGTGTCTGGGGGACGTCGAGGAGATCGATAAGTTTCTAGATTCCCAGGGAACTGGCGGACGTGGCTTTTGTCAGGCCTGCGAAAAAGATTTATGAGGCGCCGGCGGAGTGTTGGGTCGGCTTCGCCCAGGCGGCCAGCACACCCCGTCTAATCTTTGATTTCCATCTAATTATTTTTTTTTCCTGCCTTCAACTCAGTGTCCGGAGAGGGGAACAAAGGGATGAGGATGGGGGATGGGGAGGCAGGCATTGGCGGTTGGGGGATCCCCACATAAAATTGGAGCCCCCAGAACGCCCAAAGGCTCGTGCTCCTGTAAGTGTTCCGGGAGGATGAAGGAGGTGACTCGACAGGAGCCGAGGCCACGGGAGATCCGCAGCAGGGCCTGGGTGGGCGTTGCAGTTCTCCGGTGCTGTTCAGAGCCTGGGCCCAGCGGAGTTTCTAGTGAAAAACCCGCAGAAAGGCCCTAGAGTGGTGGAAGAAGGGGTGGGTGCAGCTCTCCCCTAAACGCAATTAATCAGGGAATGGGGGAACATGCCCTTGGTAGAGGCGAAAGATGGAGGCAGGATTCTTTATTCCCACCCCATCTCCGGTCAAAAAAAAGGTCTGTCCAAGCGGGGGAGTGAAAGGCGCAACTTGAATTTTTCATGTTAGCCAGAGGAAAAAAAAATCCAAAATGGAAAATGATTTTATTGGTCTCTACCCATAAGTCAAGTAAAAACAAGGATAATTAGAGAGTGGGGAATTCGGGGGCCATAAATCCGCGGCGCCTTCTCCGCCAGCGTCGGAAGCTTTATGGCTTGTTGAGTTTTGAAAGAAAAGAAATGCAGAGTTTTGGTGGAAGCGGGACTACCCCACCAAGCGCCGCGCGGATAGACAGACGCTCGCAGCGAGTACACCCGGGACTCTGGAAGGTGGCCATAATTAGGAATTACTTTGTCCCAGAAAGAGGGGCCTTCCCCCGCCGGGACCCTTCTCTCCATGGCGGGATATGTGCTCAACCCGTCTGAGTAGGGAAGTCACATTCTTCCTCACTCAAACTATGACAAAGATAGATACTCGGTATGCGTGGGGTCCCCAAGTTTTTAAACAAGATTCATTCCACTCTTAGCTTCCAAATGTCCACCCGGTGCTGCACGCTTGGGGGGCCTTTTGTTCTAATTTAAGGGGTGGGAAGGACGGGACATAAGAAAAACAACCCACCTTACTTTGAAATCTTCCGTAGATGCTGGGACTATACTTTTCATTCCATAGGGGTTTCCACCCAGCCAGCCAGAGGCCCATTTCCTCTTCTGAAACGGCCTTTTCTCAACGCTGCCGTTAGCCGATACCGTGTAAAATCCCACAATCGGGTAAACCGGTGGGGACACTTCTGGTTTAGCTGCAGCTAACTTGGGAGAAAAGAAAGTGAATTCTTCAAGAACTTCAAAATAAAAGCGCCCCTTTTCCGGCAACTCGCGCCAAGCTTCCCCTTTGTTTTAAACACACATATAAAACCCTCGTCCTTCCTAGAAACGGAGGGGGGCGGGGAGAGCTGCGGATCCACATTCAGAAGCCCTCTCCCCCTAAAAAATATTCTCCGAGGAGCTCTTTTGTTTGAAGTGGGTATGGGGGAGGGGATGGGGCCCGCTCCAGTTCAGCTAACAGGCTCTTCTGATGCTGAAAAATAACAAACCAGCACCAACCAAAAACAAAAACAAAAACAAACACAACTCAGTCCGGTGCGGGTATCTCCTAACCCCGCAAATCTGGACTTCTCAGATCCTGGAGGGATTCGTTCCTGGACACCCGGCGCACAGCAAGAGCCAAGCCCGGGTTTTCCTAAACATCCCGGCTCAGAAAACGAGAATTCTAGGTTTCCGGGTTGGTGGATAACTGTATGAACCACTATGAAACAGAACCATCCTGCTGTGATACCCACGGCATCCAGAGTGAATTTCCTGGGCCACGGAAGAAAGCGACGCGCATTTCCACAGGGACTGGCTCCATTCCCGTCCTGCGGGTGGTGGAGAGCCCAGTAGGGATTCCAGAACACAGCGCAGGGACTACCCCGAGTTCAGCTGTCGTACCAGGACCCCTCAGAAAGACACGTTTGCTGCGAAAACCTCCTACACACCAGCTGGGTTTTTATTCATTCCCTCCCCAGAGGCGCGCGGAAAACAAGGAAAACGCACGTACCTGGTGGCGCTCTGAGGGCAGCCTCGCCGGCCCTCGGTAGGCAAGGGAATCCCCCAGAAGCTACTCCCTACCCGGCTGGTAGCCCCATGGCCTGTCCCTCCCTCCCTCCCTCCCTCCCTCCCTGGCCACGCACTCCGACGAACTAATTCTCCAGGAGGCAGGAGCGGGATACCCGGCCCGCCTTTCTGGGAGTGGGATCCGTTTTCTAGCGCCAAGGCCCGCGCCAACTCCCAGGCCACCGTCGGCGCGCAGGGTTCCCGTAGTCCTTTGGATCAGCAGATAGTGGTGCAGACTGAACGCTGGGCTGCGGTTCGTGCACGAGCTCCATGCTTCCGCGCGTCCTTCTGCATCCAGGCTCCAGCGTGTCCAGGTTCCCAACAGCGAAAAGGGGACGAACTCCGAGCCCTCCGGGAAGAGAAGGCTGCAGCCGCAGTCCTGGAAGGAGCCCCAGGGCGGGAGGGGTGCAGGGCGGAGGGGCGGGAGAGCTACCAGCGCCCCACGGTCGCGGCCCTCGTGGGGGTGGGGAGGGCGCCCAGCCCCACCCACGTGGAGGCCCCCGCCCCGCCTCCGAAAGGGCAGCGTCCCCGCCCGTCCCAGCCCGCCTAGCCCCTCCCCATCGCCTCCCGCAGCGGCCGCTCCCTTTGTCTGGGCTGCCGGTGCAGACCAATGGCATCGCGTGGGCGGTGCTCAGATTGGCCAATAGATGATCCAGGAGGTGTGGCCAAAGAAGAGGTTCTACCGAGAAGAAGATACTGTGTGCAAACCCGTAAGCTTCAGGATCCAGGCTCTGAGTGTCCGCAGCTTCGAGCTGACTCCGCCGTGGAATTCCAAATTTTGGATCCCTTTCCACTATCTGGAAAGATGCCCCCATATCCGGAAGGAAGTGTAATCACTTTGGGGCTCTGAGGAGCGGGAAAGTGGCTCAGACTCAGTCAGTCCGGAAGCCCCAGGGGACTTGATTTAGAACAACCCCTTGTACCCTGGACACGCACTCCCTTGCACTTTGAAATTCTGGGTGTGCAGCATCCCCGGAAGTCAGGAAAGTGCTCTGAGATAGAATGGTAATACAGTGCTGCCTGACTTAAGGGCGTCTCTGAGTTCAAGGGTAGAGGTGCATAGTCCCTTTCAGGGAGGACTTCAGGATTAGGGGTCACTGCCCCGGGCTCACTTTAGTGGGCAGCAACTCATTTGCCTTCTGAGCGGAGAAATATCGAGTGATGAAAAAAATCCAGACCAAAGTGGATCGCGGCCAGAGTTCTGTTGCTGGCTTGCCCCAGACAGACAGGGAAGGATACATCTCAGGTGTGCAACAAGCCATGTAGCACAGCTAGTGCAGGAAAACAGAGACAAGCCATGCATAGCTACAGGGGCAGACCGATGTCTCCTCCTGAGTTCACTGCCGTGTCCAGTCTCAGAGTTGGAGGTGTTTCCCAACCTTTTCTCCTTTTCTGCATCTTGGCTTCAAGTGAAATCACTAAACAAGAAGAAAAGGAAACAGCCACCTGGTGTAGGGGCTGTAATCTGGTGCCACCAATGGTAAAATGAGCCCTGGAGGTAAATGAGGTACATTACATCCCTGGATTTGCAGGGTTCTACCTGAGAGCTATCAATCCCAGAATCTCCCACACAGTTGTCACAGAAGCCAATATCTAATTCCTTGTTGCTGAAGGCATCACTCAGCTACCTTTATGGCTCTGTTTTGAAATTCCTCTTTTTAGAAGTCCAGGGATCCTGAGAGGTCCTATAGCTAACTGAAGGGCAGGCCGTTAACACTCAGGATCTAGGACTTGTCCAGCTATGGTTGCAAACCACAGATGTGATCAATATGGCCTTGAAGTTCAGCTCCCAGGGATTAAGCACCCCAGGGTGGACACAAACTGGTTTTTGAGACCAAGAGGGATTGAATCAAGATAGTGATCAAGATAATCCCCAATAGCCTCCCATCACACCCTCCAACCCTAGAAATGATAGAAAAGTTTTAAAATCCATTACAGCCAGAGAACAAGAACAGTGCCTGGGAGACAGGTGGGGGCACTGCTCTTGCATGAGGGAGCCTTGGAGCAGGGAAGGAAAACTGGCCAGTAGGAGGGCTCCAAAGAGAGCTTCTCAGAAGAAACTGTGGAATTCTGGGATAGCTGTCAGGGTGATGGGTGGGAGGTCTGTGGAGACATTCTCTTCCTGGCCCGTGCTCAGCAGCAGTGGACTGAAACTAAGCAGACACCACTGGAGAGTAACTTGTGGAAAAGGGTTCTCCTCAGAGCCCCTACTGATGCTCTCAGCAGCACACAAGGCCCAATGGATAGACACTGACTGCTTGGAGATAGGAACACAGAACCTTACAGAGCAGCACAAGTTAGACCCACTGGTACAGGCTGTAGGGTCGGCTCAGTGATTAGGAGCGCTTGTTTGCACTTGCAGAGGACCTGGCTTTGAGTCTCAATAGCTACAACTGTGATTCACAACTGTCTGTAACTCCAGTCCCAGGCGAATCTGGAATCCTGACCTCTGCAGAAGTTCTGACCCTGGCTATACTTCTCATGAGGAATCTTGGGTTTTGCTTGTGTTGTCTATCCCCAGAGCCTGTATGTTCAGGCAGTTAAACTCAGTTCATTTAGCTTAAATTTATCTTAGCTTAAATATCTGAGCCTAGTTCTTGATTTCATGTTCACTTCTTTACTTCAAGGGTAAGGAGCCCTGTCCCTCCTCCCAACTATGGGTTTGTTAATATGGCTTCCTATGGTACATGGGACTGTTACCAGATGCAAAGTGGATAAAGTTAGAAATGTGCTAGCAAGGTCAGCCTTGTTCTATTGAGTGCCAGGGAGCCAGGATGACGAGATAGTCTAATGGAAGAATAAATAGGGTGGACCTGGTCTCAGGAGGAGAGAGCATCCCAGAGCCCCTCAGCTCCTCGGGCCTGTGAGGATGAGATTGCCACTGTAAGCCATTTTCTAAGGCTCTCTAAGCAGCACTGTTGTGACAGCTGACTGGGATGGCTGTCCTGAGTAATACAGAAGTGGACACTGGGCAGAATTAACCCTCGGGTGTGTGGTTTCAACTTAGAGGTCGGCTTGTGGATGGCAGGGAAACCGAGGAGCTAGAAATAGTGACATTTTTCCTTGTTACCCTGCAGAAAACTGGGGGAAACTAAGAAGGTAGGAGAGAGCCATGCTGTTTGCCTGTCACCTGCCCCCTGCAGTAAGCAAGGCCAGGTGTAATGGAAGGCAGCTTAGAACTGTGGAGTAGCAGGTTGAAAGGGCTACTGTTTCAACCTCCAAACATGTAGAAAAAGTCGTTATTGTTCTGAGGGCAATGATGAAGACAACTTGGTTCAGTAAAAGGACTGAGACTTGGTTGGGCAAGATGGCTCCACAGGTTAAAGTACCTATTGGTAAGCTTGATGACCCGAGTTTGGTTCTGGAACCCACGCAGAGGAGAAAACTGAATCCCACAAATGGTCCTTTGGCCTCCACATGGATGCCATGACACTTGTGTGTGTATAAGTTCATGCAGGTACACACACACACACACACACACACACACAGACTTAGGCCTGTAATAGAGTACCAATCAGACTGCAGGGATAGAAGGGTATCCGCTAACGGAATGTGTCACCAGCCAGTTGGAGAGACTGTATACTTGTGTGAAGCTAAGCTCCAGGTAGAATCCTGTCCCTGGAGACAGAATAGCCTGTTTCGTTTTGTTTTTGTTGTTGTTGTTTTGTTTTAATGTGTTTGAGGATGTGGGCACTCATAGGTATCTGGAGGCCAGAAGAAAGACTACTAAGTGTCTACCTTTCTGTTCAAGGCTGCACTTCTCATGGAGACTCTGGCTGGGCTACATTTGCTGGTTTCTTTGTAAAACCAGACACAGTGTGGCAGATACAAGGTGTATCTGTTTCAGACACACACAGCCTCCCTGATGCCCCCTTCCCATGCTAGAGTGCAGACAGCCACTCCCAGCTGTCACATGGATGATGGCAGGGCAGCCATCAGTTCTGAGACTCCTTGGCTGTGTGGAGTGCCAGCCTCAAAGTCGAACTACTTGCTTTGGGAAGTCCAGAAAGAACAAACTTGCTAATGTGGTGGGCAGTCAAGTTGGTGTCCACTGGATATAGAGGTTTAGTCTGGGCTAACACAAGAAAGAGTGTTTTCAAAGCACCTAGGATATTGTAAAACAGCATTAGTAACATTTTTAGAGAGGAAAAATTGTAACAGGAATGCAGCCAGGTAAAGCAGCACCCAAGAGTCTGAGGCCATAGAATCATAAGTTCAAGGTCAGCCTGGACTACTCAGAGAATGCTGGGCAAGCCTGGGCTATGTGGTGAGACTATATGATATTGAACAGAAATCAAGCCGTGGGGTTTGGATGAATCTCCACGATAGCGTGTTCAGCATATGTGAGACCCTGTCCCAGACTCAAAAAGAATCTGAAAAAAGATAAAATCATAAAATAATCTGGGGGACAGAATATTCTGGTGGTATTTTGCTTTCTTCTTTACAATTTTATGTATTATTCAGAAATTTTCAAGAATACATTATTTATATATTCAGGAAAAACCAAAATTATGTTTACATGAAAAAATAAAAATAAACTTAAAAAGATAGTTTCCAAAAGTCAGCTAGATGTCTTGAGAAAAAAATATATTTCCCCATTGAAATAAAAAATGCTCTTAGCAAGCCAAAGAAGAGAATGAACTGGGCCGTGGGTCATCAGCAAGGAGGGGGAATTAGTAAAGCTGAGGAATTTTCTAGAATACATGGTGAAGGACACCCCCCCCCAAAAAAAGTGTGAAGTTAAAGCTAAGCAACATGGGAAATGGGCCATTTAAATGAGATTCCAGGGAACAGAAAGAAGGAGAGGGAATAGTTACGGAAATAATAAAACTGTCCAGGGCCGAGGGAGACCCTATGAAAACATTTCAAACACAAGGAAGAGAGATGCAGTTTCCCAGTGGGAAAACACACTACCTCCAGAAAAAAGCAAGGAGCTGACATCTAATGTTGGAAACTTGAGATTCAAAGACAGCGAGGGCACCTTCACCGTCCAGAGGGAGAATTAGCTGAGCCTAAAGTTCCATG